ACCTGTACTCTGCGCCTTATAATATTAAATTTTATTAGATGATTGAATACAACATTAGCAATAGAACCATATAATGATACTGCATTGGTATAAAGACATTCAACACGTGTCCTTTGTTGTGCGTTTTATTTCTTTCTAATTGGTAAGTTAAGAAATTAAACATGCTGACTTTTGGATATCGTTCTTGTGGCGTTTTTCTACAGGGAAGTAACTTCGCGTTGTTTTTGTTTTTGCGTTGTTAAGAAGAACAATCCTACCGGACAATTATCCATCGAGGCTCAAAGATGTGGAGTAAAGTGAACTAGAGGGTTTAATAAGTCTAAATGAAGCCTCCCAAATTCTGAAAAAAAAAAATGAAAAGTAAAGAATCCAGATTCAGATGGGTTCACTGTCGAGTTCTTTAAGGTATTCTGGCCACAGCTCGGCAATTTTATTGTTAGATCCATAAACTGGGGTAACTCGACTGGTCAACTTTGAATTACACAGCGTCAGAGTGTAATCACGTGTCTCCTTAAGGGTGAAAAGCCCATGCAATACTTGGGAAACTGGCGACCGATCTCTTTGTTAAATGTAACTTATAAGGGAGCATTCACATTGAGAAGAGCCGAGGTCTAGTAAGGCCGCGACCTAAATATGGCGGACCTACATGAAAGGATGACAGCGTAATCCTGATATGGTCTCTCCGCCTCTCACACGCATCCCCACGCGTTATCCCTCGACCGGTTGAATTGAGCCGAGATTTAATTACTGTGCCCCTCAAATGGATAAATACTTTCAATAAGGGTGCACAAGCAGCAATAAATCAAAGAGGCAATCTGCCAGTCTTTTTACATTAAAAGAGGCTGCAGGCAGGGAGACAGAATAGCCCCCTATTTGTTTTTTTTTTTTTTTGTGTGCGGAAATACTCTCAATAATACTCAAGAAAAACAAAAATATAAAAAGTATCACTATTGATTACGCCTCTATTTAATTAACTCAATACGCAGACAATACGACTGTGATGCTTGACGGCTCAGAAAAGTCTTTATCTGAACTAATGACTGAATTAGAGAAATTTTCAAAAAATATCAGGGTTGAAAATTAACAAAGATAAAACAAAAATAGTATGCATAGGACGTATGAACTTCAGTAATTTAAAAAATTTTGCCACATACGCATCTTAATTGGAGTTTAATCTTTTAGGAATCGAATTTCATGTTGAACTTCATGTATTTCAAATCCCCAGACTTAGCTTTGATAAAAATTAGTAAAAATTAAGTTTATTCTTAAAGCATGGAACAGAAGAATGGTCAATAGCATCTGCAATTAATGTCATTAGATGTCATCATGAAAACGACTAATAGTACTGCAAGAGGGCATGGTCCTGTTTCATAAAAAGTCTCTTTCCTTAGGTTAGACTGGTAAAATCGGATAGCCGACAACGCACGAATGACTTTAATTGTGGTATTTGTGTTAAGGCGTTTGACGCACATTGTAATGAACACTTTCCTGATATAAGTACCTAAATAAGCATCATCACATAATTAGCACAATACCAAAATGCAACGCGACTAAATCTGCAAAAAATTCTTGCAGTTAAGACCGATATACGACTTCTAGTCGTTTTTTGAAACTATATAGTTCCTGAATTGTAACTCTCTCTCTCTCTCTCTCCAGCAGTCTCTCAAGGGTGTAAAGTACACGTACATTGCCTTCATGATTGACAGTCAAGGTGGGTTTCGGTTCAGCAACATCAAGTAGATTTGGGTCCACTCAATACATTTTATAGTGGTTACGACATCAATCGCCACATGCATCTTATTCTTAGGCATACTTCAGATGTGCGTGAGGCCAATTAATAAAACTGCCCTCCTCTATCGGAATTGCTGATACCATAGCTCATAAATCTTAGATGCCTAGTACGAGGGGTGTAAATGATGTTTTTTTTTTTCTTTTACAGATTTAAACGACCAGCTGTGTCAGCCCAGAAATCCCATATACAAACTCCCGGACAAATACACCGGAACCCACTTCTGGAGTGCAAATGCGTCGAATCACGAAGTGCTGTACAACTTCCTGTTGCCTAGCATATTAGAAGCAATTGGTAGGATCATACTAGAAATATCAGTATCGTCTCTCAAAACAAAAGTGGGCGAGCAATTGGCGCATTGTATACCATAAAATGGATTTCGATGACATTTTACATAATTTTCCTTGACAACTGACCATTAACACATTCAAAACACTACAGCCAAACGCGTTTTACGGATTCTTTTTCGATCGTCCTAACCAACATCTATTACATCGCCATCTGTCGATTCCTTCACCTCCCTCCATTTTTTTTTTATTTTAGATGTTATTAACATCACCATAACATTTTAAGACAAATACTGGTTATCTATCGCAAATTTGATTAAATTTTTTATTTAAAACATACACCCTCTGTGCCTTTAAAAATATACATAAGATGATTACTTTATGGACTTTTACTGAAAAGCAATGATTGACTTTAATCTTATTTTTCCCTTTTTGTAATTTTTATGTTAATATGATATGCCAATGTTAATATGATAATCTTTGTCAAATAGAAGTGTATCAAGAAATGCTGAAAGTAAAATTTAAGCTTAACAATATATTTCCCATCTTAACGAGAAAATGAAATCATAATACATTGTTTTTCTTAGGAGATGGAAGTGTTGAAAACACAGAGGATCCCTTTGTGGTGTGTGACTACGGAGCTGGAGATGGAGGAACATCTATGAAACTGATGGCAGAGATCATAAGTAATACACTCTTAGTAACTATCTCTTAATCTCTATCTCTCTTTAAAGTAAAAAAAATAATTAAAAAAAAAACACGGCATTTCATTTCTTCAATCATACTCAGCCACCAAAAGAGTGTCACCCCTAATACAAAGTGTTAAATAATACAGAGATTTAAGAAATAAGCCAATGCGTATGTCCGTGGAGTCAAAAATTCTGTAACGTTTGCAGAGCGACGAGGTTTCACATGCAGTGCGAATATGTTATGAGACCTTTTTTGTTTTCAGTTATCCTTTTCCGAGTACATCCCACATATTCTGGATTATAATTATATGATTGTCAAATTGAATTAAACAGAAAATATGACTTTTTTCCTTAGAAGGTATTCGTAAAAAGCATGGTGAAGAAAAACCGATTGTAATTGTGTACGAGGATCAACCCTGGAATGATTTCAAGTCGCTGTTTTGTTTATCACAAGGTACTGTACCCTTCTGTTGAGAACTGTTGTTTGTGCTTGTGTGTTGTTCTGTGCTTATCAGAGTAAAGACGTTATATCATGTCTTCCCCCCCCTCCCCCAAACGAGGGAGGCAGACTTTGATATATGGTATTACCCCACGTCACTCAGTGACACACATTTTAATCAAAATTATCAGATAACTTAACTCCTAAAGCTCCCAAGAACTCCTTAACCAAGTGTAGAATACTTTAAATGCTTCTGAGTATGTGAAAATGAAAACATTGCGTTTTTGCAAAATTAAAAAATGCAACCTTTTCAGCCACTCATGTTACAACGCTTTTATAGGAGACGTGTACCATTCTTTTTGTTTTACTGTACAGCATGGTATTAAATTAAATTTTAGGTTTATTTGGAGACCAAACAAGCTTTCTACCTGAAGACGAGAACGTGTTTGTTCTCGCCAGTGGAACTAATTTCTTTACACGCTGCCTGCCAAGGAATTATGTGGACCTGGCTGTATCCTGCTGCGCAATGCACTGGTTGAGTAAGAGGTGAGTTTGTTACATGTAAGAAGTACTAGCTAAAGCGTTTGCTGGGCATTGAAGAAAAAGAAAGTCGATGCAACGAACAATACTAAAATATGCAGTATTTTTCATTTATTTGATTTATTGCATAAAAAAGGAACAAATTAATGTAATGCATGGATGTCCTTTCCATAAACTAAACGTTGGAACGATTTTGATTTGTAGGCCTTGCAGTCTTGCACAAGATATTTTCTGTCGAGGAGACTTGAACAGTGAGGAAGAGCTTGAAGCCTACAAAAAGCAGGCCGCTCAAGACTGGGAAACCATTCTCTTAAATAGGACTGCAGAACTGAAACCAGGTACAGTGCAAATGTTTTAAAGATCAATTTGGCAAGTTTTGACTTAAAGAATAAAAAATGTCCGATACTATTAATTATGACATGGATATAATTGATTCGTGTTTAAGGTTTCTATACACCACGTTTGTGCACATCGTAGGCCTACAATTGACAGCATTCACATAAAATGTGTATACGTACAACCATTTCATAAATATCTCCTTCGCTTTCTTTAAGGTGCCCATTTCTTCTTAGTGACATCAGCTTCCAAGGATGGCATGCACTCTGGTGCGACGAGGCATTACACATTCAGGATTACCACATATTTAAAGGACCTCTGGCTTACATTTGCAAAAACCGGACGGATAACCATGGTATATATTTTAGTTTTATGTATATGCTTTACACATAACCTACAGACCTACATGTATATGTCAGATGAAACAGGTACGGATTTACATAGACACATCCTTATGTATTTTTTTTATAATACATATACAGATTATATTCCTGGTCTATGTATTAATTGGATACACAACAGAACGTTATGGCTTATTCGTTTATGTGTATAAGTTACTTCTTATTAAAAAATACAAAACACTATTTTATTCAAATATGGATCTTGCAACACAGTTTTAACGTTTTTTTTCTAGGAGGAGTTTGTGAATACAAACGTTGCATATTTCCAACGCACAGAAGACGAATTGAAAGCGCCGTTTCTTTCTGCGGATTCTAAGGTCTCAGCGTCTGGCTTTAAACTGATGTCGTTGGAAATAAACGAAACAATATTTGACATATCTATGCAACTCAAGAATAAAAAACTCTTAGGTAAGGACTGCTTACAAAACTGTTAAGCAGCTTGCTGTATTTCTGAACTGAGAATAGTTTCTTTGAAACGCTTACTTGATAAATTATATCACGTGTTTAGTTAACCGAATGCAGTTAAATAAGTAATATCATATTCACGTTTTGTGAATTTCGACGCTAGATATCCAAAAACTATTAAATGAAATAAAATCTACATAACTGATGGACACGAGCCTTGTTTTATTTCTCTTTTTTTCTACAGATGAGGAACAAAGAGTCATTGCCCACTATGCACGAAAGTATGTTAATGCTCTCCGGGGATGGATCAATGCGGTATTCATGTCTGGTCTGGATGGACGTCGATCGAAAGAGGAGAAAATGGCCATTGTGGATAATTTGTTTTCTCAGTTAGAGGATGATGTTGCTTGCCGACCGAATGATTTTGGTTATGACATGATTGTGGCATACATTGATATACTCAAAGAAAAATAAACCCTTCGAACTTAATGACTGCAAAAACGAAGTAGTTATTCAAGATAGATAGAAAGATAGATAAAGCATAGATAGATAGATAGATGTCAAAGCAATGTGTTTAGTCGCGTATTCTATGGTTGGAAATCAAACCATGGTGACCCCATAATAAACAAACTTCTTGAAATGTTGGTAATATCTTATTAATTCGACCACAACCAACAATGCTTTTTAAGTCATGATTCCTCGTGGGTCTCTTCAGGAAATGTGCCAATTTAGTTTGATTATGCCGATGGTACAGGTTTAATCTGACCTCAGCGGCAAAATCCACAAAATACTAGTACTTGGACGATTTTGATAGTTTATCTATTCACTTTTCATCTATTCAATTCTTTCCTAATAATGGGTTAATTTATTTTATTGTTACATTTTTATAATATGGTATACTAGTGTAGTGTTTTAATGTCATTTAACATGGTTTTTTGGATTCATATACTTACTAGTTAATATATAAAAAATGACAGCTGACCATGAGAAGAAATGCCCGCACAATATGTAGATGATATGTACTGTTAGTGTTATTATCATAAATGCCTATTACTTTATTTCTATATATGCCAGTTGGAATTGTATTATTACCACCATTTCTATGGTGATGAAAATTAAGCACACACAAGCGCGTGCAGACACAAGCACACAGACACACTAAAACAATCTGTTAAACTACCGATTGCATTTCTGTTCCCCTCCAGACGGCGCTATAGAACGATTTGGTTTGTCAAACCTAGCAAAAACTGCTCGGATTGCAGCATGCAGTAGACCATCTTATTCTCTTGTACATAATATAACAAATAAAACAAAATTTTTATTCATTTAACAATCAGAATTTTAAATAATGCATTATTTGTTATGGCGATTTGGAATCACTCGATATATTTTGTATTTCATAAATACCTTAGACAACGAAAAATAATATAATAATCAATTAACGATTACAAGTAAAGATCTGCTGGTCAAAGGTGGGGGATAAAACAAATGCATGGGAGGGTAGGAGGGATATGAAAAACTTTATATAGAAAATGTTACTTTATTTCTTCTTATACACAGTTTGGAGATAAAAAATCATGACAAACTGTTTTGGAAGACATAAATGAAAAAAAATTCAAAAACACCTTCAAGTATTGCAAATTGACGATATAGCAATACGCCCCCTGTGCCTTGAAAATGACTGCTTTCATTATCAGTCACGCAGATAGCAGTGTAACTATTAACTAGGTTACATACTTCAATGGATCAAAATATAATATATTATGACATTATTTATAAAATTATGCCAAAATTACAAACGGAAGTATATCACTAAACCTTTATCCCGTACTTTATTTTAAAAAAATGCCTATTTTGCTGTACTATAATTATGAGACATAATTACTCACTAAAGTACAACATCCGAATTTTTCAAGGAGCCATTCCACATAATTTCCCCATTTTGATTATTTCGCATGTAAAACTTTACTGCCACTAGTAATTCTACCAATGTAATTTAAAATTCTGTGTAGTTAACATAAAGCAGAATTGCAATTTTCACTGTCACGAGGTACGCGATGAAATAAAGGAGGCATGGAGGACACAAAACATCAAGTAGGGTAAACATTGGTGGATGACAAAACACAGTGTTCAACGTGCAGGCATCAAAGCCATTTTTAAAATGCATCAAAGATAAGTTTCCGGCAAATACCTAAAACCATTGTCTTAAATTGTTCCGCTGAATCCGTTAAAACTGAAATATCCATATACTTTTAAGTATATTAGAATATCATGACCGCCTGGCATCCACACCCTGGTCGCTCAAAACTCTTGGGTCCCTGCTTATCAAGATTGTTCATATGGTACTACAGTACCCGGGGCAACTCCATAGTCGACATTTAAAATATTAGGGACTACTCGAAGCTTAAACCGTCAAGCTGTGAACTGCTTTGACTGTCATCGTGCTCTATCACGGGACAGACCAAGAGCAATCTCAGCGTAAAACAAAATGAATTTAAAGTATTTGAAGTCATCTACCTAGAAACGTTCGGGCAGGCTTAAAGCGACCAAACTTGGATTGATTCAGTAGCTTTACTGGTATAGCACCACGTCTTACAGTGGCGGATTTAGGGAGGGGTCCTGTCATTCCAAAATAAAATAAAATGAAATAACCCCCCCCCTTCTTCAAATAATCCTGGATCCGCCCCTGCCCCCCCCCCCTGTACTGTACCCAATGAAGTGCTTTTGTCTCATTTTTGTTGAGAATATGCTCATACTTGAGTAAAATGTGCACTAGCTTGGTAGTTGGATCATTGATAAAAATTGTCAAACACAAGCCGAGATACTTTCTTACCTTTAGCTTACAGCCAACATGGACGGCCAACCTGTGAGCAGATGTTGACACTCACTAACCGTTAGGTGGTATAGAAGCCAGGACCCTCTTATAAATACCAGGTAGATCGACCCCCCGTCTCTATTCATGGGTGGCTGGTGACGGCTGATGTTGATACATGTAGCCTCTCGCAGGATGTCAGATGGCTCGGATTCAAGGATCTTGGTTGAATTCCTGTCGATACTGTTGCCGGTGTCTACCACATGTTCACATACATACTATAACATGTTCAGAAATGGCAGAGCTGGTATAGCCTACATGCAGTCATTGGTTTTCTGTGTTCACGAACCCTGGTCTTCAACTGTCTATCTGTCTCACCAATGTAAAAGGAATTGCAGTCATGACAGTTGATCCTATATATTGTCCCACAACGCCACAAAGCAACAATGTTCATAATTATGCTAGTTTTATGAATTTATATCATTCAGATGGTGTGCCCCTTTGCTGTTAGTTATCAGTTTATCAGTGATCATTGGCAACAAGTTGTTGCAATCATTTCCATAGGACTACTATCAGATATAAAACAAACCCCAAAGTGGAAAGCCTGTTTAAAACAGCTAGTTAAGCAACTGTATTTCTATGTCATTTTGTATAATACCAGTGTATTTCATCCTGCTCCTCCGTACAATAATGGTTGACGGGTTGATTTATTTTGAAGGTTAATATTCCACTCTTGCGCTGTGTTGCGCTGTATTGCTGTGTTTTGCGCAAAATAGGGACACCGCTCTTAATACCATGACTTATTACTCTTAATTAATCCTTTTAACTTCGTGTTTTAATTGTATTTGTATTGTATTTTATTTGAAACGTCTACAGAAAAGATTTTTTGGATTTTAGACTCTAAATAAATATATTAAATTATTAAATCTTGTGTTTTATTATGCATCTGAGAGAGAGAGAGAGAGAGAGAGAGAGAGGGAGAGAGAGAGAGAGAGAGAGAAAGAGAGAGAGAGAGAGAGAGAGGCAAACAGCAACAACAACAACGACAAGATGTAGTGGATAAAAAAGTGTTTTATTTCTTATTTGAATATGATTTTACATCAAAACTGACAAGGACTAATGTGTAAATGTAATATTTTTTTATTAACACGACTGCATATATGTACAAGTTGAAAGGGAATGACTGCGTGGAAGATACATCAGAAAACGACAAAATTGAGAAGTATATTGAAAAAAGAGTATATCACCCTATCATAGCAAAGTAAGATTTTAGAAAATAAACTTTTAGAAAGCATCTTATCATTCAAACATTGATTAGTTTTCTCCTTTTTTTCAGAGTAAATGATAAAACTGATGGTGATAGACCTACATACTCACACTTCCAGAGGAATATAGCAGTGTTGGTGTTGATGGGGCCCTACATCAACACAAACACATGCTATGGTGAAAAGATCATGATCAATGACCTTACAGATTTGGCCAAAATCAATAAGGGTTGATCATGAACTTTCCAAATGTTCCTGTCAGTGTGGCCACCACTAACAAGAACATGATCCTCCTCAGAGATGTTCTAATGAGTATGTAGACAATGACAACCAGTAATAAAATAAATACTGCAAAATTATTATCAATAAAGATTGCCTTGATGAAACAGAAATATTTCTATGTATTGATTTCGTGCATGAAAACTATAAACTATTTGAAAAAAAGGGGTTTTATTAACTTTTATAGATTTCATCCAGAATAAATATAATGCAGAGAAATTTGTTTTAATTTGTTAAATTTATGTTATTTTTATCTTTATAGTTAAAATAGTTGAATTTTCCACACAAAGTGTCCAAAACGAATTGAATATTAATTTGACATTATCTAAAACTTAGTATCTTCCACACAGTCATCACAGTACTTACAAAGCAAGTGGTATTCAATGTAAATCGGGTTGTAAAAAGGTTGTAAGAAATACTTCTGTATAGAATGCAAAAAATATTAAAATTAACAGTGAAAATTTGCAGATGCTATCTGAAGAACTGAATGCCACATCATAAACAATATGAAATATGTACAATTGGGGACACAAGTACTGAGCTACCACCCCAAACAGAACATTCTCAATACAGAGCCAGTAAACGTTGAACGCCTTGTAGAAGTGCGTATCACTTCTGATACCAATGCGTTGTTTTTAACTCTTACATTGCGACTACAAGGAGTAAACTCATCACCACAAAACTTAGAGCGACCATGTAGCTCTGTCTTCCTCAAAGCATCGGCAACACTTCTTGAAGTGTGCCTAGAGCTGATAGGGTGCCAAGGAGAACGCAGAAGAGATCTAGGCATAGGTGTTTTCCGAGCACGCCTACCCCTCATCCTCCACAGAGGATCAGCCACAATAATTTCCCCCCTTTCGTTTCTCCCCTCACCACCACCATACAAAGCTTTAGTAGCAACAGGAATACGACTAGGTTTAGGTATTCTTTGGATTACAACCGCTGGGCAGTGTGCCCTCTCAGTAGAACGGAGACACCCGTTAACTGCTATAGGGATTCTAGACTTAAAAGTGGTGCTTCCAAAGACATTCTTAAGTGTATTCATGGCAAAGGTAAACAGCGTTGAAGCCATAGTGGCTAACACTGTATTTGGTACCTTAGTTTTGGCTCTAAAGATGCCACCACATCCACATGGGCAATAATATGCGTGATAGTGGACTCCACTACGTGTGGGTACAGTTGTACTACACATCTCTGAAAGGAGCAAAATTGTTTTTGTTGTACATAACTGGGTGTGTGTAGATTTTATAGTCATAATCAGCATACAGAAGCATGCATCTGATGTGTAGCATGGGGATAATTGTAGGGATTTTTATTAAGTTCTCAGCAAAAAAATATATGTATAGACCTGAAGTCTATATTTCTTTAGAACTATAGCCTATACAGCAACTTTCGTTGAAAAGATAATATGTTGTTTCACATAAATAAATAAATAAATAAATAAATAAATAAATAAAAGTAGATTTGATGCATAATTCTTCAAAAGTGTTTTCGATAGATATGTCCTATGATTTTTTTAAAAATAGTTTAAAAAATGAAATACCCAAAAAACTAAAAAAAAAAAG